ATATAATTCTGGCGAAGTACATCTTTTATTGTAAAATTGCATCAAAACTTCATAAATTATATTTTACGAGAACTAATGCATCATTGGATAATAAAAAAAGTTATTTAAATTAACTTTTTGCCAAATGTTATGTGTAAGAAAAAAATATAATTGAAGACATATTGGCCGTGAAAATCTGTTTGTAAATTAGCCCAAAAATTCGAGGAAAACTTTAGCTTTAAAAATGTTATTTTTAATATTTTATTTTATTTTATTTTTAACATTAATTTGACATTGTTTGACAAACTGCAAGTTGTGCAGTCTAAGTTTAATAAAAATCATGTAGAGAACATTGAACCTCTAGTTTTCAAGCATTTTAACATATATATATTATATATATTACTAGCTGAAAGGACTGGCGTTGCCCGTGGAAAAGAGAGAGAAAAAAATTTAAAAAATATTTCTACTTTTTCAGCCTATAACACCCCCGGCCACCTATTAGTGTCCACACAAAAATTCAGATCAATCGGTCCAGCCGTTTGGCCGGCTATATGCAACATATATATGAATGTCTTGTTTTATTATATAGATATACATATATACATACATTACATACATACATACATACACTCATACATCTGATTATTAAAATACAGAGTATTTTTCCATTTTTATTTCTGTACAAATTGTTTTGTATTTTAAACACTCAGTTTCATTGGAAATATATATATATTGCTTGTCTGTTTTTCTGTCTATGTTAACCCGAACAGATCAAAGCCATTTTTTGTGTAAACTCTGATGACTTCCGGGAAAGTTTAAGGTCGCTTAAATTAGAGATTTTTTCCCATAACCAAATTTTAATATATCAAAAACTTTGGGAATCCGCCATTTTAAACATTTTTTTTAATGTGGGCTAAGGTTCATGGAAGATTAATGAAGATTATATTTAGTTTATATTTGATATGACTAAGAAAAAGAAAAAAATAACTTTGCATGTTCTCATTTTATATATTTTATGTATATACAGTTATTAATTTAAAAAGTTTGAAAAAGAATAAATAATTCAAGTTGGTTAATGAAGGATATTGTCAGAAAATAAGTATGTAAATTGTGTACTAGCGTGGGATTAAACTTTGTCTAGAGTGTTCCCTTTAAAATTCGATCCACTCGACGTAGACATTTTAAAACCATACTAAGAACATTCCCGTGGTGCTTCCGAGTTCGCTCATCAAAATTATTTTTTAGGCGGTCAATGGTTTTATAAGTTCTGATTATATGATTATTATTTAACATATAAAAATAGTTCTTGCAAACCTATTAAAAAAAATGTAGATATCCATCAGGATTCAGGAACTATTAGAATTCATAGTTTCACAAAAACCAAATTTAATTTCAGCACATCTTTAATCCTTCTTTACGAATATACAAGTTTAATTCTTATCTTAATACCGGATGTGAATCTTGGGCGCTATGAGCGTGCAAGGTTGCTTAAATATCCTAATAAATAAATTTCTGTCTGAAGTTGAAATTTAGATAATTAATTTCTATTTGAAGACCTATTGCATTGATAAACTCCATATTATTATTATATATCACAATACTAATGGCATGTATTATAATGTGTATTGTGTACAGAGATCTAAATGATAAATATGAAGGACAAAACATCATTGATATTGTAATATCTAGAAGTGTAAGCCTGGATACGGCTCCTGGTTCTCCAGACACCCATTGGAAGCAAACTGTTATTGTTATCCCCAGGTAACAGGATTCATATCTCTCTTAATCCATTGGGAGCAAACTGTTATAATTATCCCCAGGTAAAAAGATTCATATCTCTTAATCTATTGGAAGCATACCGTGATTGTTATTCCCCAGATAACAAGATTTATATCTCTCTTAATCCATTGAAAAGAAACTGCTATTGTTATCCCAAGGTAACAGAGTTCATATCTCTCTTAATCCAATGGAAGCAAACTGTTATTGTTATCCCCAGGTAACAGGATTCATATCTTTCTTAATCCAATGGAAGCCAACTGTTATTGTTATCCCCAAAATGACAGGATTCATATATCTCTTAATCTTCTCATGGTATGTGCTAAAAGTCGACATTATGGATAAAATTATCATAACAATTATGTTGGGAAAGCCCAATAATCAAATATGAATTAGCATTGTAATGTAGTGTGATGAAATGTATCACTATTCAGTATGTATAAGTGACAATTTTGTTAGTTAATATTATGTAAGGTGGGCCAAATATAAATAAATACATTTAAATGTAAAAACATTTTATTTGGAGGGAGGGGGGGGGGGAGCTTTCAAGAAAAATAATACATCTTTTGATTTTTAGAACGGATTCTGAGGTAGAAATTGATGAGGTCGTAGGATGGGAGCTTAATATGGAGCAGTCTAAGGTATTTAGAAAATATACAATAATTCAAACATCATTTTTAATTTCAATAGAGAAACCCCATAGTTCATTGATGGTCAGGGGCGGACTGGTGGTTAAGCCTAGGAGGGGGGGAATTTTGACGCGCGTACGATTTTATTTTTGTTCACTCCTTAGTGGTCGTTGTTCACCCCCCTAAAAAACCGAAATTAAGAAGAAAACAGTTCATTTTTGAACTCTTTACTAACCCTGTAAAGGCACGTATTTTTAAATCCATTGTTCATGGGCTTTTCAAAAATGTAATTTTTAGATCTGTAGCTTAAATAACAAAAGTTTATGGGTATCCCAGGTGGGGTACTTGAAAACCAGGATACTCTGAGGGGGGTCAATTTTACCCCCTCTCTAAACGTCATGTTTAAAGTCCAAATATGACAAATGATACATCTTTGGAAAGCTCTTATTCTCTACTTTTATAATGTGCAAAAAAATGCAAATTTGCAATAATTTAATTTTTTTTGCAAAATCCAGTTATGTTATAAATATGTTGGCAAATAAATGTCAGAAAAGCGATAAATATGCAATTTTTGGAAAGCTCTTGGCCATGCCATTTCAAATATGCAAAGAATTTTGCAAAATTTTTAATAACTTGATGTGTAATTAAGAAAAACTAAAAATGTGCAGATTTCTTTTGACGGGTTGTATGCAAATAATTCACCCCCCCCCCAGCAGGAATAGGGTTAAATTGTTTAAACCGACCGGCCTTTTTTTACCGTCCTGCATTCTACCCTATGCATTNTAATAAATTTAAAATGGCTGGCAGTAGAACGCTAAAACTTATTCACTTTTTTAACTTCATAGTTGTGAACAAATTTTGCAAAAAAAAATTTTTGCATATGGTAGGGTGGAGGACAGTCTAACAGCGGGTCGGTGTTTCAAAAAATTCAGAAATGGTTAATATTTTTTATTAATCAAGCTACAGGGCTAACATTTATATAATGAAAAGCCCTTGTCAAATTGGATATGTTAATATTTTTCAACTTTTTGAACTTTTTTAAAAACCGTTAAATATAGAGGCATACATTTTTTTACTAGGGACATATATCACACTCCCCTATCTCATCTTTAAGGGCAAAATCATATGGGGAGACAAAAAAGCCCAACCGGGATATGGTTAAAAGTCAAAAATTTCTATGAGAAAGTGTTCCCAACCTTGCAGTGCACCCCCTTTTCCTTAACATTGCTTCCCCTTTAAATTATCTGTTCCTACTGGGCCACTGCTCCCCCAAATATCCAACCCTGCTCCCCCTTTTCTCAACCTTGTGAACTTTACTTAATAAAATAATTCTCTTACTCTGGGTGAAACATCTTAAACTCATATATGGATTTTAAATAAAACCCTGAAAATCAGATTAAGATATAAGGAAATAACTCGAGACATTATCATAATATGGACAAACTGTCAATTGATCAGACAAGAATATAAATGTAAGTTCAGTCAGAGTATTTTTCCATTTTTATTTCTGTACAAATTGTTTTGTATTTTAAACACTCAGTTTCATTGGAAATATATATATATTGCTTGTCTGTTTTTCTGTCNAGGGGTACACAGGGTTGTCGCCGTCGCCCGCCTCTGTTGATGGATGTTTATTTAAAGAAATAGATGAGATATTAAACAAATATACATTTTATCAAGCATGTTATGATATAGATACTTTTAAATAATAATATGTATCTCTTCATTTATTCTTGACTTGTATACTTTTATTAGGAAAACCCCCGGCATTATCAGCTTGGAATATCTATTCTTGATCCAACAGCTGACGAACACCCAATGCCATGTGCTTGCAAGATGGCGCGATGTGCGCTTTTTGCCGCGTTAATGGAGAAGGAAGACGCGGATCTAGAAGAGCTGGGACAGGTTAAATCAAATGGAGATATTGAACATTTATGACATAAAGCATAAAATAAATATTTTTTATGAACATATTTTAATGATGACAGATAAGAGAGACATATTTAAAGAATCAAGATTTCTTAAAAATTTTAGTCAATAACAAATTCTAAAAATAATTTACCAATTCTGGATTTCTTGTTGATCTTAGATACCACTTAAGTATTTTACTGGAGTAAATTGGTTCGTTGTGAGCATAGGCGCAACTAGGCGCGCCCTTCCCTAGCACCTGAGAGGGGGGGTGCGCGCCCCCCCCTGCAGAATGAAAAGAAAGAAAGAATGACGAAAATCAGTATCACAGGAATAAGAAAACCAATAGAGTTATTGTAGAAATTTTATTATGAAGTGATAATAATAACAATATTTGTGTGGACGTCTGAGCATTAATGACGTTAAACATATATTCTTAAAGAAAATAATTGACGATTAAGATTTTCACAATTCAATTTAATTCTGGTGACATTTATAAATTTACAATAGTATATACATACATTACAGTTATTGTGTTTGCAGATTTTTATCTATAATTGTGTTAAAAAAATCTTTTTGTTAAGCTGAATTCCATATATCAAGTAGTCTCAAATTTTTTTATTTGTAGGTGAGGCAGTATTTCGAAAGCTTGATTTTTTTTAATATCCATTTTATGAGAAAGGCCCCCCCCTCCCAAAAAAGCGTTGAAAACAAATCATATATGTATTATACAAGTATGTACATTTTACTAATCTCGGTTTGATTTATGAAATTTATCATATGCTTCCAGATCGAGAATAATTCATACTCTTCTGCGATTCATTCACGTTGCCTAACGTTTTTTCTCGTCTTACTGTTTATTTCCATATATTTTATTATTCATATTGTTCTAACCCCTGTTAGCCTGATATCTATAGGGTTGTGGTGGAGGCCTGATATAAGGCTTAGGGGGAGGCCGAGCAAAGGCTTGAGGTTGAGATCTGGAGGTTAGTGGCAGCATCCTAGAGTGGGGTTTTCTCATACAAACAACACATCTAGAATATTGGATGTTAACAAGATAAACTTAACAAAATATAGATGTCTGCTTTAGTATTGATTCTAATCTTATTGTTAACAATTAATTAAAAACGCAGAAATCTAGTTAATCATTAATTTCTAAAAATATTTAACTGATTTTAAGGTAAAAACTTTGTATTTGAAATCCGTTTTAACGCTCTCAATCTCAATCCTGGCGATTAACCTGTGAATTCATTATATTCTTATATCTCCGAAATTGCATCTAAATCCTTCAATTTAAAAGTTTTTGCAGTGGTTATCCCGTAGTCGATATGGCTAAGCGGTTTCCCATCACCTCTTGTTCTGAATTTACCTGCTTATCCTAGACCTAAGGTCTCCCGCCTTCAAGGTTTGAGGAACAGGTTTCTGGAACATTCTTGTCTCCTCTATAGTTGCCATCCAGTAGGAGTAGGAGGTGGTATAGTAGTTGCATCTACCATGACCCTGGCACTCGATGAACGGACGGGACCTAAGCATTGAAAGTTTTTTTCTTGACCAAAATTACTATCAGATGGTGGAACTTTTTGGGTTAGAATCCTTTTAACTTATGTGTGGGGCACAGTTTTTTTCCTTTAAAAAATGCAAGTCTGTTGGGTTTGAAAGTGGCTTGGTAAAACTTTTGGAAGCTTGATATAAATTTTTTTCCAATGCAAAATTTGTGCTCAAATCTAAGGTAAAAAACATTGATTACATCAATCGTCAAGTTCGTGTTGACCATAAACCTAAAAATATGAGTGCAATTAACAAGATATTTATGGGGTTTGTTCGTTTATAATCTTCTCGTTTAAAAAAATGGAAGTGTTCATGCTTTTGGCGAACAGATGCGCTTGTTCCCTAGAAAATTTATCATTAAAAAGCTTTGTTCCCTTATAATGTCTTCATGAAATCAGAACTAATGTTTGTGAATCTTGGGATCTAGCATTGACCTCCATCTTATGTAGATCTACGGATTCATTTAATTCCTCTTTCATCTCCCGTGATGGTTATACCCTGCAGGGACAACTTTAATCAAAGCGTTGATCCTCAAATGTAAAAGTGCCCAGATTGAATATTAAGATAAATTTTTTAAGATTTAATTGAACATTTTTTCATTTAATTTAATTGCAGAGCGGCAAATGACAAGATTGGAGTCATTATAATTCTTTTTGAAATCTCAACACAGTGAAAAGTACAAATTGTAGACCATAAGAGATTTTGTATAATTTTTTAAACCGTTGTACAGTGAGTCCCATAAAACTGTGGGATGGGTTAAGAAGACGACTGTTCATTTTTATAATATCCAATGAACATGAAACACGGAGGTTATGCAGTCACACAGCAGACCCATTTATTACTATTTGCATCAAAACTACATCAATATATTCATCATTTATATTTGTTTAAAGCAAAATTACATTAAACAAAACCATAAGATAACTAGAATGTCGTTTTCCTAGTCTACATACTTATGGGACGGTATTCTATTTAACTAAATTAGGAAAGAAATCCAATTCTACTCTAGCAAATATCATTCTCAGAGAGACTTACGTTGTAGAATTATCATGCTAAAAAGTTAAAGAATCAACACAAAGACTCCCTCAATAATATTTAAAGTAAACCAAACCTTGAATTAAAATTTTAATTCGAAAGTTTCCTGTTGGTTGCACCATAGAGTGGAAAGTAAACCGTTTTTTAGTTTTAAGATTTCTCTTTTTACGGTGCTTAATCTGAGATGATGAAAAATGTTAAAGCAGGTATTTGGCAAATTATAAAGAAATCACATTGAACCATGCGTGGAGGGAGCTAAAACAAAACGATAGAAGATCAGTGCTGCATCACAAATGAATGAAGAGACTTTAATCAAGCACCTGAAATCCAGGATGAATATTTTTTACCCAAAATCAATGACAGATTTATTACCTAGCATCAAGGATGTGTCTATAACTCAAAACCATGGATGGATAAACTACCTAATATCAACGACGGGAGTTTCACTTTAATTTACGGACGGTTGTAATACCTGAAATCGAGGACGGATGTATTGCCTATAATAAAGGACGAAACTAGAAAATGGAATATTGCGTAGAATCAAGGTCATATTTTACTACCTGAAAACAAGAAAGGATTTGATACCTGTAATGAAACCAAAGACCTATAATTATTACCTTGAATGAATGACGGGTTTATTACATAAAATCAAGGACGGATTTCTTACCTGAAATCTCTGAGACATGAACCTGGAGATCCTAAACTCTGACCGGAACCATCTGCTCCGGCATCAGTGTGCTGAACAATTATAAGAATTATAAAACTCTTAAATCTTTCCTACCACTCTCCTCCATTGTCAATGATCTTAGGTAGGATAGTTTTTCCATCAAAATTACTGAAATCATTGAATTGACTAGGTTATAATTTTTATGTCAAACATTGCATAAATCCGTAGGTGGTCAGGATTAGATAAAATCGGTCCAAAAAAAGTTTTTTTTAATTTAAAGAGAGACAAGCCCGATTCAAAACTGTGCCCATTATACCTTCATCCGATCATTAGTGTGGAAAATAACATCGTTTTTTTTTTACTTAGAAAGTGTTTAATTCGGATATTTTCTCTATTGTCTCTAGAGCAAAAAAAATGCGTTATTCACTTTTGCAGAGAAATCACAATTCATTGAAAATAAATTAGTTTTCAAAACACACAAACGTGGATATCTTATTCATACTTGATTAAACATGGCTCTAAAGGGTACCGTTGTGAAGCGGACATGGCATTATACCCAGAGAGGGGACCAATTGAAATAATGTCAATGGTTCTTTTAATTTAGAAAATTCACGTTTTTAATAATTAAGATCTGCCAAAATCTGAAGTATATATTATGATTAAAATATAAGGGAACTAAGTTTTTTGCCATAAACTCAAATATTCTAATTCCTATCAATCTTTCGAACCAAATTTCGTAAACCTTTTATATTTCAAACTATAATATCTGTCAGACCAAATAATCAATTTTTGAAACATCTAATGAATACAGGATCAGGTTCCAAAGATAAAGGAGTTCGAAGATTTGAGTTTGTGGCAATAACTCGGTTCCTTTCAAAAGATTTATCTACCATGAGGAAACTGTATCCTTCCCATAAATAATCCCAGTTCTCTGGGCAGTCAGGAACATCCATAGATTGGGAGTGAAGAGCCAGAACCTTTAATACAACATAATTATAATCAGCATTTTTATAGAATAGAATAATGTTTTAGTTTACCTTGGTTGGAGTCTCACAGACTGCACATTTAGAAATATATTTCTCTATCTGCGGTCCTTGGATTGGAGTCATCATCATTGGCATAGGCTCAGTACTTGACAACCAATAGCTGTAGTCGTTCCTGTTAGCGTAATCACACACGTCGTTAATATTACAGAACATGTAGGGCATGGTTGAGAACCTTTGCAGACAACTGCCCGGCTGTCCTAAGTCCTGCCCTTGGGCATGACCATTGCCGTAGATGTGAAGTAGGGAATAACCGTTCCACATTAGAGAGGTTCCCTCCGGGCACATGGGGTACTTAGCTGTCTGAGAGTGCAGAGCAATGAAGTAACCTCTTGGTTTAGGTCTGGGTCCAGGAGGAGCAGGACGACCTGGAAATCCATCCTCTCCGGAAACCCCTGGTTTACCGTCAAGTCCTGAGTTTCCTGTATCTCCTATGGTACCCTTCATACCAGGAAGTCCTCTGAGTCCAGCTAATCCGTTTCTCCCTCTTAAACCTTGCATCCCCTTTAACCCCTCTACTCCGGGTACACCCATGGGTCCTATTGGTCCCTGAATCCCAGGAAACCCTGGCAATCCGGAAACTCCAGTTTCTCCCTGGTCACCCTTCGTTCCTGGAATTCCTGGTCTACCGTTGGCGCCTGGAATTCCTGGAACTCCATTTAACCCAGCTGCACCGGGTCCACCTCTCTCTCCCTTGGGTCCAGGACGTCCAGGATAACCAGCGAACCCACTGTTCCCTTGCTCACCCACTTCTCCTTTCTTACCGTCAAGGCCGGGTAAGCCTGGAAATCCTGTATCTCCTGAAGGTCCTCGTAAGCTGAAAATGTCAAAAGATTAAATTATTTCCATTGTGACGAAATAATAGATTTACCTGAATCCTGGTGGTCCACGCTCTCCTTGTAGACCCGGAGCTCCTGATAAACCCATTCCTCCGTTTTCTCCAGGTTGTCCAGGAACTCCAGATCTTCCGGGCATTCCTTCCATTCCGTCCTCTCCCTGTTCTCCCTTTACACCCGGAACTGTATCCCCCCTGGCTCCCTTCTGTCCAGGAAACCCTTCAGTTCCAAATATACCCGGAGATCCTTTCAATCCATATATTCCGTTTCTCCCAGGTGCTCCATCAGGAGCTGGTTCTCCTAGCTCTCCAGGTTCTGCTATTGGAGCAGGAATCCCGGGATATCCAACCTTGCCTCTATCTCCTGGAGCCCCTTTCCGACCAGACAATCCTTCATAGCCTACATCACCTTTCAATCCTTTCTCTCCTGTTACTCCAGGAGTACCTCTTGAACCTTGTCTCCCTTCCTCTCCTCTCCTACCATCAAACCTGTCAGGACCTGGAAGACCAGGACTTCCTCGTTCTCCTTTATCAGCCCCTGGAGTCAATCCAGGCCGTCCTGTATCTCCTTGTGGTCCCTTGGCTCCTGGAAGTCCATAATCTCCTGGGGCACCTCTTTTACCCGGAGAACCTGGAAATCCGTCTGTTCCAGGTATACCAGGATACCCTGGCTCTCCCTTAACTCCCTTGGCTCCAGGTTCTCCAAACATTCCAAGTTCTCCGGGAATCCCTTTTTGTCCGTTTACTCCGGGTAATCCAGGAAATCCATTTGCTCCTTTCATTCCTGCCATACCTGGCATACCGTCAGGTCCATTTACTCCATAATCTCCAGGTTCTCCAACCTCTCCCTGTAGTCCTCGAGCTCCAACTATTCCATTTTCTCCTGGTTCTCCAGATACACCTTTTCCTCCCAGCAGAACGGTTCCTGGGTTCCCTTGTTGTCCCTTTAGACCTGGTAGTCCATCCAATCCAAAATTTCCAGGACTTCCTTTTAAACCAATGCTTCCGGTATTTCCCCTCATTCCTTTATTACCTGGAAACCCGAGGGGTCCAGGTGCTCCCGGTTCTCCATTTTCCCCTGGTTGTCCCTTAATACCGGATTCTCCCATGTTTCCAGAATATCCCTCCTCTCCTGGAGCTCCTTTAGGTCCTGTATTCCCAAACGCTCCTGGAACTCCTTCTTTACCCTGTTTCCCCGGTAGCCCAGTTTCTCCACTTAGACCAGGTTCTCCAGGTATTCCATCCACCCCTAGACCTCCGCTCTTCCCAGTCCCTCCTGGAACTCCATCCATCCCATCTGCACCCAGCTGCCCCCGTCTACCAATCATTCCAATATCTCCGTTTAGACCTGGAAGTCCAGATCGACCAGGTATTCCTGGTTTACCGGGGAACCCTTGATCTCCGTAAAGACCAGGTAAGCCTGGTCTCCCCCCTGGTCCAATAACTCCGATATCTCCAGTTACAGACAAACCCACGTCTCCTTGAATCCCCTAAAAAATATGCTTGAGTAGAGAAAGTTATAAAGAAGACATAACTTCCAAAAAGTGTCAAACCGCAATTTTGTTTTGCTTACATACTTTACACAATCATATATCAAACAGAAATAACTATTGTTTAATCTTTTAGGGTGAAAATATCTAAAAACTAGTTTGCTCTATATCTGCTCCATATTATATCTCTACTCTGTGACTTTCATCTGATTAGAATGGGAGGCACTAGAACATATAGTTTATATGGTTCAGTGTATACCTTGAGTCCTGGCAATCCCTCCGGACCTGGAGCTCCCTTTGCTCCTTTACTCCCAGGTAATCCATCCCGTCCTTGCAGCCCCTTGTAACCTAGATATCCTGGTTCTCCTCGTTCTCCCTTTTCTCCAGGTTCTCCGGAGTTTCCAGTTCGTCCCTGGATAATATCTCTACCAGGATCCCCACCTACACCCAAGCTTCCTTTAAACCCCTGAAACAAAATCAGTTTAAACAAAACTATTTGTTATTCTTCAATGCGGCGTTGAAAAACTTACAGGTTGTCCCGGAAGTCCATTAAGTCCATCTTGACCTGGTGGTCCTGGCCTGCCAGGTATACCAGGTTCTCCTCTAGGTCCAGCCTGACCAGGGATACCCCATCTAATAAACCCTTTCTCTCCCTTGTCTCCGGTATCACCTATTGGTCCTATCTCTCCTGCAATCCCCTGATCTCCAGGATAGTAGCTGCTACCTGGAATACCAGGTTCTCCTACATCTCCCTTCTCTCCGAGCTTGGTGAGTGGTATAGCTAGAGCTCCCTCCTGACCCTTCGCTCCTCTGTCTCCTGTCATCCCTTTGGGTCCGTCACTTCCACTGTAAAATATAGTTAGGGGGTTTTAAGCTGTTGTTGTAATGTCAAATAACTCTCCTTAAAGATATCGTCGTTTCTTTAGCCTGAAAAGTGTTTGATTATGAAAGTTTTCTTAATTGTTTCTGCAAGTATAAACTTTTATATAAAAACCACGAGTAAAATAATCAAAATTCAAAAAGAGAAGCATTGACAGCTTATTCAGTTTTGATCAGACAAAACTTTTACTAGAGTACCGTTGTTAATCGTACATTCCACTCTATAAATTTTAAATTACGGTAGATTACGACCAAAGTCCCTGTAAGGACTGTAGGTCTACTGAATAATTTATATTTTGTCAGCTTTATTGTATACAAGTAAATTAACAAATTCTTTGGCCTTAAATTATGTAGAAAATGTACACAGTGAGACCTATAAAACTGTGGTGTAAGAAGATAAATTTTTAGCTCAATAATTCAAATGCAGTTGAAACATATAAATATTGCGATTTTACTTAATAAATGACTTTTAAGCTACTGCAGTAGACCTATTTGCAACATTAAAGACACATAAGATTGCTTAAGTGTCTTCTTCCTATTCCACAGTGTAGTTGGTCACATTGTATAATATATATTTAAGTCTTGTCTGTTTGTTTGTTTGTTTTATTGGTTTGTTTGTTTGTTTGTATCCAATAAACACCAAAATGGCTCAACTAATTGGAACAAAATTGTGGTGACCTCACATGTCGAACTCTTGATCGCGATATCCAATGTGTGGGCACTCATTATTTTGAGGATCAATGTTTGAATAGTTATCACTGCAGGGTATGACCATCACGGTACATTGAAATAAAACGTAGGTCTGCATATAATGGTGATCTTAATGCTTCATCTCGAGATTCACAAATCAAAAGTTCTAACTTTAAGGAAGTAGTATGGGTATTCAAAAGTACTACTTCAAAAAATTATTTTCACAATTCACCGGAAAAAAACAGGAAATTTTTCTTGTATTGATTTTAACATGTTAGAAAAAGATTAGTGACCGAGAGCAAATATTTTTACTACCTACACGAAGCACCCTATAGTTAATTTAGAATATTTATGTAAACTCACGTTATACCAGGGCTCCCTCTGAACTTATATCTTTCCTCTGGTGTCAGATAGATAGTATCTCCTGGTTCTCCTTGTCTACCATTGAACCCAGGCAATCCATGCCGACCTGATAGAGTTAAATATAATCATTGAATCCAGGCAATCCATGCCGACCTTATAGAGTTAAATATAATTATTGAACCCAGGCAATCCATGCCGTCCTTATAGAGTTAAATATAATCATTGAATCCAGGCAATCCATGCCGACCTTATAGAGTTAAGTATATATATTAAACCCAGGCAATCCATGCCGACCTTATAGAGTTAAATATAATTATTGAACCCAGGCAATCCATGCCGACCTTATAGAGTCAAATATAATTATTGAACCCAGGCAATCCATGCCGACCTTATAGAGTCAAATATAATTATTGAATCCAGGCAATCCATGCCGACCTCATAGAGTTAAATATAATTATTGAACCCAGGCAATCCATGCCGACCTTATAGAGTCAAATATAATTATTGAACGTAATTGATGGAATATTCAAACCTAGGTTCACTTAAAATTTTGTTTATTATACCTGGAATTCCGTATCTGCCGGGTGACCCATCGTATCCTGATCTCCCTTTTATACCCGGTCCTCCGGTCAAACCTGGTTCTCCGACCTGTCCCTTGCTCCCCATGAGGCCAGGTAGACCAGGGTATCCTTTAGGACCCGGATATCCCGGTGATATGTTTTCCATCCCGTAAACCTCACCGTTATCTCCAGGCATGCCTGGATTCAAACAAATATTAGATAAACAATACATAGATCCAGACTGATATGAAAAGTTGCATCAAAGACTTGGCCATCTTTAAAGACTTGGTCATCCTTAAAGCGTCGCAATGACTTTTGATTTTATCAAACTATTTTGCTTTTGGTTGTTTCCTTAGACATGTTCATTTTAGAACTTAAGAACTTTAGAATTTGTAAATCTAGTTCTAAAGAAGTAGTTTGTATGCGTGATAGTTTGAAACTTTTGGATCATTGATTACTACTCTCAAACTCTAATTTTCTAATCCCAATATCTTGACCTGATGGTGTAAACCATTAACTATTTGATCTTAAAAACTGCAACAGTAAGAAATCAAAAGTCTATACGACATCAGGTTGTAAAGATATAAGGTTTAGAGTTTAAGGTAATCAGTTCCTTTTTAACCAAAACATGGGTATTTTTTAATCAAATAGACTTGCAGACGATTTTATTTTACTATTTTACAAAACCAGGGTTATAGCTTTTTATCAAAACCCATTACGATACATTTTTGTTAAGGAAAGTGATGAACATTATTTTAATTGTCAAAAGATAAATAGCAAAGAACAAAATCTTTGAAGAATTTATAATTTTATTAATTACCCTGTATCCCCTCTAGTCCTGGTGGACCGGATATACCAACTGGTCCAACCCAACCTGGAGAACCAATTTTTCCTTGTTCACCCTTCGGACCACGGGGACCAGGCCAACCTGGAAACAAAAAATTACTGCAACCTGTAAACAAACAAATGTACTGCAACTTGTAAACAAAAAATTACTGCATCCTGTAAACAAACAAATGTACCGCAACCTGTAAACAAACAATTGTACTGCAACCTGTAAACAAACAAATGTACTGCAACCGGTAAACAGATCATGATCAATTAAACCATGATGTAACTAGAACTTCCCGATGAAGCCAGAATGTAACTAGAACTTACCAATGAAAACATGATGTAACTAGAACTCTTTATTGAAACCATGATGTAACTAGAACTTACCAATGAAACCATGATGTAACTAGAACTTACTAATGAAACCATGATGTAACTAGAACTTACCAATGAAACAATGATGTAACTAGAACTTACAAATGAAATCATGATGTAACTAGAACTAACCAATGAAACCATGAAGTAACTAGAACTTACCAATGAAACCTTGATGTAACTAGAACTTACCAATAAAACCATGATGTAAATAGAACTTACCAATGAAACCATGATGTAAATAGAACTTACCAATGAAACCATGAGATCCAGGGAACCCTTGTTTTCCATCATCTCCTTGGTCTCCTATTTCACCAGGTTCGGCTGAAAGAAGAGAAAAATTAAATTAATAATTAAAAGAATTTTTTCAATTTTTAAAAAGATACAACCTGTGGGACAGTATCCGCAATCTTCTCCTTGTTCTCCGGAGTCTCCTTTCCTACCAGGCAACCCATCCATCCCTGGTAATCCCATCTCACCAGGATATCCTGGTCTACCCTTTTCACCTGGCGGTCCTATCTTAGGTCTGGATGCAGTGGATACTCCAGGATATCCTTTTAATCCTGCATCTCCATAGTCTCCGGTATCTCCCTTTAATCCTTCCAGTCCGTTTTCTCCGTCTATCCCGGACTGACCAGGTGGTCCGAACACAGTTTCTCCAGCTAATCCCTTCTGTCCAGGAACCCCTGGATACCCATCAGGTCCCTTCCGTCCCACCGGTCCAGCGTAACCTTTAGGTCCATCGTATCCGATATCCCCCTTTATGGATAGTCCGGGGATACCTCGCTTCCCCTGTGGTCCAGGTCTGCCCGGTGGTCCAACAATACCTTTCAGTCCAGGAAGGCCAGGTCGTCCAGGAAATCCTGGTAGTCCAGGTCCACCAGGAAATCCTGGAAATAAATATTTGAAAATATTTGATAATTATTTTTGAAATTTTGTTATGAATACAAATGCGTACCATAGTCCCCTTGAGGTCCATATGGTCCAGTGTCCCCTTTATCCCTGAGATTTGGATCGTATTCTCCTGGTGGTCCTGCTGGTCCCTGTACTCCAGGTCTTCCAGGGATACCTTCATCTCCTTCCTCCCCTTTTCTTCCATCCAACCCGGGTAAGCCAAACTTTCCAGGCGCTCCTTTAACTCCTTTCATCCCTACAGGTCCTGGTCCCCCCTCCTTCCCTTGTTTGCCCCTGGCTCCTACTTCTCCGTATTCCCCCTTGGATCCTTGGTACCCAGGGTATCCATCCTCACCCTGTAAACAAAACAGTCTGAAAAGGACTGTAGAGTGTAGAAGTAACTTCAAGTCATGCCATAAGTTGAAGATTTGCATCTCTTAAAACTTTTATCTGAGTAACAATTAAGAAGATATCGCTGTATTAAATCTTAATTAGAGATATGTCTGTCCATTTTATTTCTTTGTCTCTGCTGCATGTGCATGCCACTCTTTACAAAATGAAAATATTCTTTAAATCCTTGATAAGATAAAAGAGATTACATAGAAATTATAAATCATGTTAGTACTAGCTTGAGATGAGAACCCAGCGTTGCCCGGGGTTCTCCCGCCGTTTACCCGCGCTTGGTCGTAAAATACGATTCTATTTTTCTCTATAAAGGTAGATTCACTCGACTTAGAATCTCTAAACCAAGCTAAGAACATTCCCGTGGTTCTCCCGAGTTCCCCAATCAAAATTTGAGGCAAATCGGTCAAGGAGTTTCTGAGTTGTGATCGTAAAAACAGAGATTTCAACTTTATATATTTAGATACGTCTTAAATATTGAAAGGTTTAGTAAATTTTATCCAGCTCCTAAGGTTGAATGAATTTGTTTTACTGAATAAGAATAAAATAAAATAATTCAAATTTCAACAAAATAAGTTCAAAAGAAAAGTTTTTTTTTGCGTTCAAGAGTTTTTGCTGTTTACCATACTGTGGTTTATTTGAAATAATGCATTACATATTGTATATTGTAGATTAAACTAAACTTAAGTAAACTTCATTTTAAAATGAAATTTTGCACTTTTTTATTAACATTTTGTATTTCCTCATTTGAAAGAGCCATTGATGACCAACAAAAATTGGATGACAAAAACATATTGGCAACTAAGCATGTTTGTTATTGGACAAAAAATCAACATTAAAGGATCGTTAAGACGTCACAAAGTCGTACCAGCAGTTCTACGTACAGTAATACAGCTTTTTTCATACAGCAAAATCTTCACATCCCTATTTCTTTGCAACCTGATGGTGTAAATCTTTGATATTTCTATCTTAGATTATCAACAATCTAACAGAATTTACAGGTCTACGACATAAGGTTGCACGGATATAGAGATTAGAAAACAAGAGTTTATGCCAAATACTCTCCCTTATGTATAAAAAGGTGTTCCGCGGCTTATTTGCTAGTTGGGAATATTTGCAATTATTTTTTCTTGAATTGCAAATCAAAGATCTGCAATGTCCTTGGATGAATGCAGAAAGCCATATGTTTGTGATTTCTGAATTATGATTAATAATTACATCATCTGGTTTAGTCAAATAACTTGATAATAACAAAGTTCATGGGAAACTGGAAACTTAAATAATTTTAATAAGAATAAGAACAAGGAATGATTAAACGTTAGAGCGATTTATCTGGCCCTTCGAAGATAGGATAGGATAGGATAGGATAGGATAGGATAGGATAGGATAGGATAGGATAGGATAGGATAGGATAGGTGGAGAATTATTAAAGGACTCTGATGAATATAAAAAAATATAAAAGATAAAAAAAATGAAAAAAGTGAGAAAAAAAAGAATTTTAGAAAATAATTGAACAATAAAGTTGATAATTATAAATCATTCATAATGGTTTAAGGGACTACAGGCGTAATTTCAAGTGACACTATATTTCTAAATTGGCATGTCTGATTCACAATAGTACCCTTTCAACCTTGGACTGGTCATGGATGTCGGACAAGCGGCTACAGCGAAAATCACTTTTTAAAGTTGTAATTTTTATGAGATATTATAATATAGCCAATTATGTGGCTGCTTAATCCCAGTACAGTATGAGGATAGGGTCGGCCCGGTAAGAATTTAGTAGAGTGTTCATAATTCTTGACGTTCTGAGATGGGTCACTTGAAATTATGCATAATTAATGAAACTGTTATGTATGATTCAGAATGAAAAAGTATTCCATACGGGGGAAAAAGTGTTAATAAAGAAAATACATAAATTAAAAAAAGTTGAAAATCTAAAATACGTCTTTAGAAAGTAACGAGTTTTATCCGTAAAAGTTAATTCTAAATATCCACTGTGAATATTTTAACAAGGAGACGTAAAACTTACGTAACAATGTACAAAAATAATGAACAAGAGAGAAACGAAAAAAGAATTAATAAGATGGAGAACAAAGAGAAAGACGATTATCAAAAAGAGAATAGAATAAAATCAGGAAAAGATAAATAAATAAAGAAAATTTACAGGAGATAACTGTTTTTCAATTTCCAGGAGTTAAACTGTAAACCTATTGAAAGTAGTAACAAATGCAACTAAATTGCAATCAGTAGCATTTGCAATCTGTTACAATAAATATTGTGTCCAAAATCTAAACAATAAGTATTGGTGTCTTATGTTTAAATTTAAAGTATCCAATGTATAGAAAATCACTATTGGTGTCTATGGCACCCTCAACTAAGTGATGGCTATAAAATAAATTTTGGTGTCTATTGTATTAATTCAAGTATTGGTGTCTAATATCTATAGAATTAAGTATTGGTGTCTAATATCTATATGATTCAAGTATTGGTGTCTAATGTCTATATGATTCAAGTATTGGTGTCTAATGTCTATATGATTCAAGTATTGGTGTCTAATGTCTATAGGATTCAAGTATTGGTGTCTAATGTCTATAGGTAAGAGCCCTTTAAAAGCTGATCATATCTACAAAAGTAGGCTTTCTTTATAAGCCTAGTTAAAGTTCAGAGCCTGTCTCCGTAAAGGGACTGTCCACGTTTTTCAAATAGCCTTCCCGTCAGTGAGTTTAATGTCCGATTCACAATGGTACCTTTTTAACATTTGTCTGTCCACAAATTATTGAAATATTTCCTTTTCTTCATTGAAATTGACAATTTTCCATAGCGGATTATCTGTCTTGCAGTAACTTGCAAATTTATGCAGGAGAAACAATGAAGGAAATAAACAAATAAATCTCTTTTTAAGATAAAACGAAAAACGAATATATCTTTCTTATTTCTACTCAGATAAATGTCTAAGGGTGCCCTTGTGAATTGGGCAAGTAATTTTTTCAATTAAGGGTCACTTGAAATTGCATCGACAGCCCTCTTCAAGATATCTATAATATAGATCTTATATTCAACATTTTCTTGGAGTATAAACACATTATAGTAGATTGGTGTATTCTCCAGGTTTGTTAAATACTAGGAAAAAAAGCTCTTATTCTTATCTATTCTCTGTGTCTAGTGAGTCTAGTAAATAACTTGGAAAAATAAGATCCTGCCTCAGTTTCTGTTAGTGTTCTATAAAAGGACTGTAAAGGAAAAATGATAGGGGGTATAGGATGAAACCTGAGAATCTCAGGCATTGAACGATACCTATAAGACATCTCTCTGATGTTCCTGTCACGAGAAATTGATATAAAACTGTGTCAAAATTATACGAAAATTCATATAAATACAATTTTGTATAAAAGTAGTAGGTTTAAACAGATCATATTCAGCAAATACGCAACCAATCTGAAAATGACTATATCCCATGAGAGCCTCAGAATATCAGGTTTGTTCTTATTATAATTTTTTAATTTTTATTTTGCATTTTCAATAGATATAATTGATGATATGGTTTCATAAAGTCAGTAAAGTCTGTATTACGTCACCAAAACTTCATCCAATGGCAGGCAGTATACTGATACAGACGGAAATGACGTGACCAGTATACTGCACTGCCATTGACTGAAATTCGTATGACATAATATACAGACTATATGGACTAAATGTCAGTGTTCTTTAAGTATGATTAAGTACTTAAATAACGAACAATTTCTATATTCATGTTTAATCGACGTTTTTTTGCTATGGTGTAAAGTTCTTGAAAAAAAAACCAAGCGCTTGGTTCAGGTTAAATTGACTATCTTTAGTCTATGTATGATAAAAGGGTTCTATTGACTTTCTCTAATTTAAAGTGGAGTACTGTGAAAAACAAGTTCTTAGTTCAGGTCCTATTAACGTTCTCTAGGTTATGTTATTAGTTGGAAAAATAAATTCTTGGTTCATGTTCTATTGCTTTTCTCTAGGTTATATTGTAGTACATGGAAAAACAAGTTCTTGGATCAGGTTCAATTTACTTTCTCTAGGTCTAAGAAAGTACTTGGAAAAACTAATTATCAAAGTTTGATTTGTAGCAGTGCATTTTGTTTAAGAGTAGCTAGCAATTTACTTTATTTTTAACGAGCTCCCCCCCCCCTCCTTGGATTCTGAGAACATGTCAATCCCCGCGGGAATTTGAAAATGAAAAAGTAAAACATAAGTTGCCCAGGTCCCCCCCCCCCCATCTCGTCAATTCTCCGGTAGCATTCATTGAGCGAACTATTTGTAGATCCTTCGCTCTGTTTATTTGTATTCCCTACCCCTGGACTTTAGTCAGGTCTTTGATGTATACTGCCTGGATCGGGCTGCAGGCACATATGCCTGGGAATATGTTTAAAAAATAGGAATGAGGTCATGTACGTTAATCCAAACAGTTTTCATGATTGGGTAAAAATCCAAGTGATAAGCAAGAACGGATTGCTCTAAATATCACGATGCGGCTCCAGATAACCTTGCACCAACTTTAAAAGAGCTTTTGACGTAATTTCAGGAAACCTTAATTTCCACGATCCAGAGATGGAGATATCCGTGTTTTCTTTAAAGGATTCTCTTTGAAAATAGTTTGCGGATATCTGCACCGGAAATAAGAAAGAATTTTGACGGAATTTTATTGATCTTATTTCTGAAATATGTGACATATTCCATTATCTGTTTTGGTAATTACAAATTATCAAAGGTTCAAATTTTTGTGAAAAAATATTTTTGAAAATTCTACAAGTATGATTACCCTGTTTCCTGTATATCCTAGGTCCCCTAGTTCTCCTGGTTCTCCTGGTAGACCGTAGGGTCCCTTGTCCCCCTTGGTCCCCTTGATGATGTTGATATCGGGTTTAGGGAACTGATAAATATATTGAGGTCCAGGTTCTCCTTCTTCTCCTAGTTCTCCTTCCAAGCCCTGAACAGACAAAGTAAAAATGAAAAAATATTTTGTTAAAATTTGGATTTTCAAATTCGCGTTTGAAACCTTCTCTTCTTAATAGTTTCTCTTTAAAGTTTTTGTGTAAAATTTTGTTATTTAAAAACAATATTAAAATAATGAAAACTTAAATTGCGATTTTCACATGTGCACATTAGTTACAATAAAATCTGATTTTTTTGCCTTCTAAAATGTGTATGCATGACTGTACACATTTCTCTGGTTGCCCAGGCAGCCCAGGGGTCTGCTTAAAACTTAAATAAAAATGGTTTACAGTTTATGAGTATAAGTTGCTTCTCTGCGGGGTTTTTACATGAAGACCACTAAGACAATTCGTGTTTAAGGAAAGAAAGCTAAAAAGTGATATAGACCAATGAGTGTACAGTGTACACTGTACAGTGTGCAATGTACAATGTACATACTACATACCACAAAAAGTGCATATTTGCAAACTTAAACTCAGAATTTAATACATTGTCTATATACAAATAATTTGCTGTGCCAATAAAAGAAGAAAAAAGTCTGTTTCATTCATTTTAAACATCAAAGTCATTTGTAAAAAAATCTGTCCATTTACATTTTAAGTTCAGAATATGTTCAGAGTGCACGCTTGGAAATTCATATTTCTAACGCTTTAACCAGATTTAAACAAACTGATTGATAAGTGCTTCTTTAGATTCAAAATTTATAAAAAGTATCCATCATGTCCCAATGTTTAGATAAGGAACACAACTATAGACCTACAGCGAGAACCAGAAAACTGTGGGAAAGGAAGACGACATTAAAGCAATATTTAAATTACAAAGCAAATTAGTTTAATACAGTGTCCCAATAAACATGGGAGTTGAGAGACGATTTGAAAGTCGTCTTTGATTTCTAATATTTAATGCATAGCACAGTAAGTATTAAAATGAGGCTGTGTACGTCTTACGAGCTTTTCAAACCTTTCTCGTGTTTTAAACATTGACGAAGATGTTAGATATTAAGACAATTTGATTTATAAAATATAAATTTTTCAATATCTCCGTCAATTTTGAAGATACAAAAATGGTAGACCTCATTTTAAAATTACTTATAAAGGGAAATAGTCTGTGCACACTGCAAAATTGCTTTGTTTCATGTTGATTTGACTGTTTTTCTTTTTCACACTTTTTTGGTTCTTACAGTATCTTTCTCCTTAATAGGGAACCTCGGTTATATCCCGAACACAGATTGCTATTAGGAAATCAATCCATTTATTAGGAAATCAATCCATTTATTAGGAAATCAATCCATTTATTAGGAAATCAATCCATTTATTAGGATATCAGAAAAAAGTTTCAACCTTAACTCCCTCCGGTGGTGTTTCTCCTTGTTCTCCTGGTAGTCCTGGACGACCAGGTTTTCCATCCTGTCCCATCCGCCCAGGATCTCCGACCTGACCTTTCTCTCCGTCCTGTCCCGGATACCGGCTCACTTCTCCCTACAGTATTCTGTAAATGAAGATAAACCAAATAAGAAAATACAAAAACTCAAAATTAAATTTAATATCTTGCGAAAAGTAATCTTGGAAAGTTAGAAAGAAGAAAAATATTAAAATGTATGTTTAGTTAAAGAGAGAAAAAGACAATTTTTCCCATAATGTTCCAGCATCATGTAAAAGTATTACTTCATATTGTAATTAAACATTTTAAAGAATATTCCTGAGGTCCGGGTACTCCTGATTCTCCTGCTTCACCCTGAAAAAAAATATTGATGCATTTATTTCACCCTGCATCTAGTGGAATTTATTTCACCCTGGACTGCATTAATTGTTTCTTAATTTGTCTCTGAACAATGTCACTGTTTTCTTATGGTAAACCCGAATTTTTTTTTCTCTCGGCTGTCAAAACGATGAAAAATTTGAAAACATAAACATTACAAAAGTTTTTTATGCAAAAATATCCTTCTTTTTAGGATTCTATCAAAGTTTTGTGAGATTCTAACGGGTCGGGCCCTGCAGTTCAGTCTTTTTTAATACCTTCTTTTTAGTTTCTTTTAACAATTAGGCAAACACAGTACATTCACACTTACTCAGATTTATCTAATATTCACCCTGTATTCACTTTTATCTATAAGGTTCACCCTGTATTCAGCTTAATCTATAAGGTTCACCCTGTATTCAGCTTAAGGTTCACCCTGTATTCAGCTTAATCTATAAGGTTCACCTTGTATTCGGCTTTATCTATAAGGTTCACCCTGTATTCAGCTTTATCTAAGGTTCACCTTGTATTCAGCTTAATCTATAAGGTTCACCCTGTATTCAGCTTTATCTATAAGGTTCACCCTGTATTCAGCTTTATCTATAAGATTCACCCTGTACTCAGCTTAATCTATAAGGTTCACCTTGTATTCAGCTTTATCTAAGGTTCACCCTGTATTCAGCTTAATCTATAAGGTTCACCTTGTACTCAGCTTTATCTATATGGTTCACCCTGTATTCAGCTTTATCTATAAGGTTCACCCTGTATTCACCTTTATCTATAAGGTTCACCCTGTATTCAGCTTTATCTAAGGTTCACCCTGTATTCAGCTTTATCTATAAGGTTCACCCTGTATTCAGCTTAATCTATAAGGTTCACCCTGTATTCAGCTTTATCTATAAGGTTCACCCTGTATTCAGCTT